CACACAGGCGACACATGTGACAGACGGCCTCGCCTTCCTCCTCATCCTCCCCCTCTTTATCACCATCAGCATCATCATCACCATCGCCATCACCTTCATACTACTCGTCGTCGTTATCGGTGTGAAAACTGTCGGAAGTACCATCACCGTCGTCGTCATCGTCATCATCATCATCATTATCACCATCATCATAATCAGCATCATCAACATCATCATCAGCATCATCAGCATCATATTCATCATCATCATCAGCATCATCATCATCATCATCATCATCATCTCCATCATCATCAACATCATCACCAGCATCATCAACATCATCTTCATCTTCATCAGCATCATCAGCATCATCTGCATCATCACCATCATCATCATCATCATCTCCATCACCATCACCACCGACCATCACCATCGCCAGATTTCACCAATCTTCCTTTCCAGCACCATCACCACCACCACCATCATCATCATCAGCATCATCATCATCAGCACCATCATGATCACCACCAGCATCACCATCATCATCATCATCATCATCATCATCGTCATCATCATCATCATCATCATCGCCATCGCCATCATCATCATCATCATCATCATCATCATCATCATCATCATCATCATCATCATCATCATCATCGCACGATCCCCCTCCTGAAGCTCTTCGTCCTCCTCGTTACCTAGGGGGGCCGCGCGCGCGAGGGAGCACGCTGGCAGCAGCGGCCGACGACCGACGCCCGACGACCGCAGACGACGACGACGGGGCAAGGGACCAGGACGACGACGCCTGAAGACTGGCGACGACGAATGACGACGACGAGAAACGCCCTGCACCCGGCACCTTCTCTCCCCTCCATCGTATCTTCCTCGCTCCTGATCTATTCTCCTCCTCCTCCTACTCCTCCTCTTCCTCACGCTTCTCATCCTCCCTCCTCATCCCCATCCTCCTCCTCCAGCTCATCCGTGCGTGACGACCGCAACGAATGACGACGACGTGTGAGGATGCGCCCCAAAAACAACCCAAGAGGCCTCAGAACGGTCCACGAGGGCCCCTAGAAGGCCCAGGACGGCCAAGACGGCCGAGAGGGTCCCAGGACAGCTAACAGAACCACAAGAAGGCCCCAGAGGGCCCCAAGACGGGACCAAGGGATTCCTGAGGATTCCCTCCTGCGGGTGCCTTCGGATTCCTAAGGGATCTTTAAGAATTCCAGAAGGTTTCCCCAGGCTTCCTGAGGATTGTCAAGGATTCCTGCGGATTCCTGGTGGACTCCTGAGGATTCCAGGAGATTCCCGGCGGAGTCCTGAATAGTCATTTGCATGATTCGGAAGGTTTCAAAGGGGCTGCGAAGCAGCTCCTACTAAGAGGCTGCCGAGGAGCTCCTTCGAAGCTGCCAAGGAGCTCCTTGGAAGCTCCTTGGGAGCTGCAGCGAAGCTCAATAGAAAGTGCCGTGGAACCCCCTGGATGCTACCAAAGAGCTCCGCAAAAGCTGCTCAGCAGCTCCTTAGGAGTTCGTGGAATGATCCGAATATTCAAGCTTCTGAATCGTCGAAACATACAGCCGGGGATGGTAACAAGTCACCTGGGAATTGAACAGTCTACCAGGGAATATACGCTTTCCTCACAGGACCCACCCAAGAAACCAAACGTGTTCAAAAGCCTGTGGAACATAGATGACTTGTGATTTCTCGCAATTTCGCTACCGATACCCTTTGGAGGCCTCAAGGTGGCCCCAAGATGGCCAAAGAAAAACCCAATAGGGACTAAAGAAAACCCCCAGACGGAAGGACGCCCAAGAGCGGCCCAAGAGCGCCCCAATACACGGTTGTGATGGCCCCAGGAGGGGCGTAAATCGAGGACCCCCCCCCTTTGATCGATGGCCTCCAAGATGGTCCCAAGATGCCCTCCAGGGCCACAAGGGACCCCCAACGACGACGGCGACGGCGACGGCGACGACGGCGGCAGCGGCTCGCGCGCCTTGCCTGGACGCGACCGCCTCGAGCCGGGCCTGCTGGAGCCCGAGGGCCCTCTGCAGCTCCTGGTCCCCGGCCGGCGAGGAGAGAGGGGCCTTTGGGAAAAACACACACACACACTGTGGGACAAACAACACACTGTGTGTGTGTGTGTTTTTTTCCCACTGTGTGTTTTTGTCCCACATGTGTGTGTGTGTGTGTGTGTGTGTGTGTGTGTGTGTGTGTGTGTGTGTGTGTGTGTGTGTGTGTGTGTGTGTGTGTGTGTGTGTGTGTGTGTGTGTGTGTGTGTGTGTGTGTGTGTGTGTGTGTGTGTGTGTGTGTGTGTGTGTGTGTGTGTGTGTGTGTGTTTGCGTGTGTTTGTTGTCCCACATTGTGTTTTTTTCCCCCCACACAGTGTTCCCCCCACACAGTGTATGTTTTTTTTCCCACGGGGGGGGGGCGCGGAGGGACCCAGGCCGCCCCGCGCCATGGAGGACGCGCTGCGGAAGGTGCGCGTGGGCGTTTCTCTGGCCTCGGCGTGCCCCGACCTCGCCAGCGCTCGGGCGCCCATCCCCCGTGCTTTTGTGTGTGCGCTGCCGTGCGTCCTTTTGTTCGCGAGATGCTCCGAGAGGCTCCTCGATGGCCCTCGCCGAGGAAAACTCGCACGCCCGAGCGGCGCCAAGGTGCCCCTACCTGCATGGGTACTGAGGCCGTCGAAAAGCTACCCGAAGGATGCGAAGCCCTCCGGGGGTCCCGGCCTCCAGGGCTCCCCGGCTCCGACGGCCCATACGAACGAACGAACTGCCACACGCCGGAGCGCGTGGGCAGAAGACAATGCCAGCCCGAACTCGCCGCGTTGCGGGAGCGACTGCACGTCGGCTGTCTCATAATGCACAGCGTGCGCGATTGGAGGAGGAGCAGCAGCAGCAGCAGCAGGCTCCTCACCTCCGACGGCCCACGCTGCGTGGGAAAGCAGCAGACAAATTGCGGAAGGAGGTCGAAGTTCGAGATTCGAGTGTAAGAGGGTGATTCATGTTCCACCGTTCGCTATGTTTAGGTATCCGGGCTTTGCCCCCTCCTGGCCTTGATGTGAGGCCCCTCCTTCTGCCCCCCTCTCGTTCATTCAAGCTGTGCGCGGCCCGCCTAGCTTTGACCGGAAGAGGTGCGCTCTCGACCCGCGGATCAAACAAGTTCAGGTATCCGCGAAGCTTCTGGCCACCACGGGCGTATTCCCCTCCAAAACTCTTTCGAAAATAACCGCTGCAGAGGTCGGGAGGCGACATGATTCCGGGCCCCCGGCGTCGTGGTTCCTCCAGTGTCAGCGACGGTACCTTGACCTCTGCCTTTGGAGGACCACCTCGTGCCCCCGGCAACGTCAGCCTTCCGCATTCGACGGTGTACCCTCGCTACCTAGCGGCTCTGGGCGGTCTTCGGCGGTCTTCTGGCAGTCTTCGGCGGTTTCCTGCGGCGTTCGGCGCGAAAGCTGGATGGTTGTGTTCAACAAGGCGTACATGATCGAACACCTCATTAAGTCAGACAACAATCGAGGATGAAGAACAAGCCCTGAGAAGGGGTCGCGTCTTCCAGGGGCTCCGTGCTGAAATAATCGCAAGGTGGCAGTCTCGGAGGGAGGAGGGGAGGATCGACCTCCGCGAGACGTCTGGGGGCATCTGGAGTCAGGAGAAGGGCGCAGTAAAACGTACCAACTGCTTGTTTGTTCTACTCTTCCTCCTTCTCCTCCCACTTCCCCTCCTCATACGTGGTCCCCTGATACCTCGATCACGTCCCCCGGGCAGGTTTCTCATCACGGATCGTTTTTCGGGGGCCCCTGAGCCCAGAAACAGAATCCGGAGGCAGAAAACATAGAAAACCTTGCGCGCTGCTTTTGTGCCCGACGTTCGACGTCTGGAGGAAAGGATGGGGAGGGGGGGGGGGGAACGGGGAGGTCCTCTCCAAAATCAACCCGCCGAGGGGGGCCGGCGTCAACCTGCGGCCGCTGCCCGAGTGGGTGCGCTCCCGCGAGGGGAGGATCCCTCACACCCCCAGGATCTGCGGCGTTCGACCTTCTCTTGGCGTCCGGAGCCCCCCCACAAAAGCTCCCGGAGGCACCGAGCAGGCCCAGATCAGGCCCCGAAGAGGCCCCGAAGAGGCCCCCGAGAGGCCCCAGAGACCATCAGACCTCCCCAAAGGCCTCTGACCCACAGCCGAGGCACGGTGGCGGGAGGGACCGAAGGCCACTGGACCCTGGAGCAGTGCAGAAGTGGACTCGGGAGGCTGCCCCTGGGCTCTGGGGCCGCCCAGAAGCCTGTCCAGGATGCCACCGTGGTCCCCGGGCAAGGCGGTCGGGATGCCGGGGGACCACGCCTTCCAAAGCAGGGCGCACGCCAGCTCAGATTTGTGTGGATCCTGCTCCTCCTTCTCGCTCTCCCCGGCCGTCAGACGACCTGCGCTTCGAAATCACATACAGAGGCAGCGAATGTGAAGAACCCACTTGCTCACCGACGCCCGGCTACTTCAATGGGAGCGATCCAAACTAACTAGCTGCGACATGCGAGGGGAGAATCCTCTTCCCCAGGCGGATTGCCTGGTTCAATCCTAACCTTTTTTCTCCGTCGGCCTCTAGAGACCGCTTTGAAGACTACGGGAAAATCAGAAACGTGAAACCAGGCCTGGGGAAACGGTGGGCAATGACAATTATTCCGCTGGAGGTCTGGGTCCTTCTCCTCTTACTTCTACTCCTCCTCCATGAATCTTCCCACATGCTATCTGGACTCATGACAACTACCTGTTCCTGGCGTGTTTCCCACTGGCTGTGCATCGCCGATACCCTCCGGGGACGTCGAGAATCGTCACAGACGGCCGCCCGAGACACGAAATCTGCCCGAACGAAAGCTTCGTCAAAGTGAGCTCCAGCAGAGGCTCGGGAGGAGGGCGGAGGAGGAGGAGGCGGAAGGCGCGACTTGTCCGCCCCTCTCTGTGGAGCTGCTGTGATCGCCGAGCCACGTCGGCCCTTCCTGAAGTCGGAACTGCACCAGGATCGGCGCTAGACTTCAGTCGGGCACGGCCCCCCACAGGCAGATGTTCGACGAACAATAAAAACTCAAAGAAAACTCAACAATTGTGAAATACTTACGCAGGACGAAAGATTTTCCTCTTGAGGTGAAAATGGCCATGAGGAGTTCGCGACACAACGTCGGCGCCGCCGAACGGACGGCGACCGGACGAGCTGTTTGCAGCAACCGGGGGAGGAGGGATGTATGTATTCATGTTGAGTGGGGCCCGCTCGCGCGGGGAGTTGTTGGGAGAGGGCGAGACGACGCAGGGCCCATCGTGGAAATTTGATTACTGAACCCCCCTCCCCCATAGAATCTTAACACGGGCGGTTTGCGGGGTCCGCGGATCCGATTTCTTCCAGCTCCCTGGTTTAATTTAATAATATAAATTTAAAACAAGGTAGACATCGGATCCGCCGTAAAAAAAGACTGGACACGGATCCAGGTAAGCCGAAATCAGATCCGTACGGGCGGAAATCGGATCCACCGAAACAAACACCAAAACAACATTTGGATCCGCGCGAACTTCATGAGATCCGACGTTGGTTCTCTCATACGGGTCTGCTCAAGACTTCACACCGTCGTTCCGGGCCCAAGAGGAAAAACACTTTCGTCTTGGGGATGAGCGTTTGGGCCTTCGGACTCGTTGGTGACCACATATCCGACACACCACATCTCACACGCATCCCGTTGTTGGTTACCACACAGCCGACACCACATCTCACAGGCAGTCCGTTGGGTGAGGAGACGCAGGGCCGAAATGCACTAGTGTCTTGGCCTTCGGACTCGTTGCTTACCACATAGCCGACACACCACATCCCACGCGCAATCCGTTGGTGGTTACCAAACAGCGGACACTACTTCTCACAGGCAGTCCGTTGGGTGAGGAAACGCAGGGCCGAAACGCACTAGCGTTTGGGCCTTCGGACTCGTTGGTTACCACATATCCGACACACCACATCTCACACGCAATCCGTTGTTGGCTACCACACAGCCGACACCACATCTCACAGGCACTCTGTTGGGTGAGGAGACGCAGGGCCGAAATGCACTAGTGTCTTGGCCTTCGGACTCGTTGGTTACCACATATCCGACACACCACATCTCACGCGCAATCCGCTGTTGGTTACCAAACAGCCGACACTACTTCTCACAGGCAGTCCGTTGGGTGAGGAGACGCAGGGCCGAAACGCACTTACGCAGGACGAAAGATTTTCCTCTTGAGGTAAAAATGGCCATGAGGAGTTCGCGAAACAACGTCGGCGCCGCCGAACGGACGGCGACCGGACGAGCTGTTTGCAGCAACCGGGGGAGGAGGGATGTATGTATTCATGTTGAATGGGGCCCGCTCGCGCGGGGAGTTGTTGGGAGCGCGCGAGACGACGCAGGGTCCGTCGTGGAAACTTGATTACCGAACCCCCCTCCCCCATTGAATCTTAACACGGGCGGTTTGCGGGGTCCGCGGATCCGATTTCTTCCGGCTCCCTGGTTTAAATTAATAATATAAATTTAAAACAAGGTAGACATCGGATCCGCCGTTAAAAAAAACTGGACACGGATCCAGCTAATCCGAAATCAGATCCGTACGGACGGAAATCGGATCCACCGAAACAAACACCACAACAACATTTGGATCCGCGCGAGCTTCATGAGATCCGACGTTGGTTCTCTCATACGGGTCTGCTCAAGACTTCACACCGTCGTTCCGGGCCCAAGAGGAAAAAACTTTCGTCCTGGGGATGTAGTAATAAAAGAAACGTCCCCATACGACTCGTTGAATATTTTTGAATTTGTCCCCTGTAGAAGGACACGCCCGACTTCATGCTAGATCCTCCCTCCTCACAACCCTGGCGGCGCCTCCGGCGCAGCCCCTGGCGCGCTCCGCGCGCCAGGGCAGGGGTGCGAAAAGGGGTGTGAGGATGAGACGGCGCGCAAACGTTATTGAATTCATACAACTTCGCTGTCATGTGACTCTTCCCCCCCCCCATCCGGCGTTGCCCTTTGACGCGGTGCTGAGCCGAGAATGCATGCAAGCGAGGGTCGCCCTGCGTGAAGTCCAGATTTCCGTTCTAGCGCCTCGCCATGCAGGATAACCAAGAATCGAACCGATAAGTCGGATTGGCGATCGAAATGAATCGAATCGGCGGAAATCGGCAGCAATGGCGAGAGAAGTCGTATCGGCGGGAATCGGCAGGCCAGTAATGCCTCCATTGAACCACCGAGATCCAGATCGAAATCCGAGGTCGAATCACCCTGGAATCGGAAGCCATCGACATCGAACCGAATCCAAGCGGCGGCATCGAAACGGGCCCTGGCCGAGCCCCCTGTGAAGGTATATTTGCTGGAGCGCACACCAACAAAAACAAGCGCCTCCCCGCGCCCTGCGCACTCCGCGCGCCGGGGAAGGGATGCGCCAGCGGACGGAGCGTGGCACAGAGGCCGCAGGGGCCCTGGCCGGCCCAGGTGCTTCTCGGCTGTCCCCCTGCCATCGCCCACCTTCCCCAGAAATCCCAGTCGCCGTGTGGGGGAGGTGCAGTCGGCCCGTATCATAAGGATGCGCGATAAGGACGCAAGGATCTTGGACGCCCATGTCGAAGCTTCTCGAGCAGGGCGCGGCCAACGAAAGTGGCAAAGGATGCACCGAGGAGGCAAGGATGCATGGGTACCCTTGGGATGGTGGCCCATCCTCGAACTTTTCCCTATCCCTAGGATCGGCAAGTCAAAAGCGATGACCATCTTAAGGATGCGCCCTCAGGAGCTGAGGGGATCTGTGATGATGCGAAACAGGGGGATAGGGATATGCTTCAAGCTGACGGGGGGGGGCACGAGCTACCCGGCGCAACTCCAGGACCATGATAGAGGCTCCAGATCCACCCTCGAGCGCCTCCAAGATGCCCGAGGATACCATCCAAGACGGCTCCACAAGATCCCCAGCACGGCCAAGGGGCCCCAAGACAGCTCCACGTGGCCACGGAGCCTCGCAAGGATACCCCCGAGAGGCCCAAGTCAAACCCAAACAACGTATGTGTCAATGTGCTGTTGTGTCGTCTTGCAGCTTCAGATGGGAATCTAGTGCCACAGCGTGGCTCGAAGATCTCCCAAGACGGGACCAGACTCGTACAGCCCCGTCGGGCTTCAAGCGGGGGCTCTGTTTTGGGATCCCCCTATAATGGATCAATTGCCTCATGCACGGGTTCAACAAGAAGGCCCCCACCACCCCCAAACAAAATCCTCAAGGGCGCCCAAGCGGGCCCAAGAGACCTCTAAGATTGCTATAAAAGGAGCCTCCAAGAGGCTCACCATATGTTGTCTAACATCAAGATCGTTTGCCTTCTTATCTTACCAAATGCTTATACACTGTTTCTCCCGACCGTTCGCCTGGGCATCGTTTCTGACTGGCCTGAGGGGAGAGCGGGAAACTAAAATGATTGCATTCGCCCATCCACCTGTCTGGAATCGGTGGAGTCGCGTAAGGCTCTTGGATCCGCTCGCCCACCGGAATGAGGGGCGTGTGGGATTTGACTGTCAAAAGCTTCTTTCAAGCCTTTGCCCCCCCTTTTTACCACCAGAGGCCTCCGCAATGCCGCCGCCCCCTGCGCCTCCTGTCCTCTTCGGGCCTGGAGTCGGCGTACAGACGGCGTGCAAGACGACTTCGAATTCCATACCGTTCCCAATGCGCTTTTGGAGCGCATGTTTGCTCCATTGCGGCTCCGTCGGGACGTCGTCTTGGCCTCTCCACCATCGGCTCCCAGGCCCCCCCGGGAACGCCTCTGGCTCCCGGGCCCTGGGCCCCGCCCCCAGAACGCCTCTTGGGCCAGAAGCTTCAAAGCATGGCAGCCTCATCAGGCTTTGGACAATTTCCGCCTCGCACGGGGCCACCCTGGACGCCGCTCATCGCCGACTCTCGGGCTCGCCTTTGGCGTTCGCCTGCGTGCTAACTCCGGCTCTGGAATCACTGGCTGGGTAATCCTGGCCTCCACTTCTTGGGGGGGCGGAGAGGTGGGATAGGGGTAGGGGTGGGGCTGGGAGGAAAATCGCACTAAACGGCTCCTGGAAGAGGGAAGTGTGAGCATCCAGCTGGTTTCGTTCCCTTCAGTGGAGGCCCATGCCAAGAAACACCCTGCTTGCCTCCAGGGTGCCCTGGGTCTCTTGGGTTTCGATGGTGTTGCCACGGAAAGCGTGAAGTTCCCACCCCAGAAATCCATGGACGTCCTGGGGTCTCAGGGTTGGGTCTCTTGTGGAAGGTTTCTTGTGGACTGGCCTCCACTGCAACCCTACCTTGGGATAACCCTCTGCTACGAACCCCCGAACTTGGGACCCAAGGCGCAGCACACGACGGCCCCGATGCGGCCCCAGTTCCAGTGGCATCCGGACGGGGCTCGGTCCCCGCGCGGGGGTGCACGCACTGGGGCCGTCAAGAAGCTCTCGCCTGGGCCGCCTCGGGCCCGCCTTGTTCTCTCGGGCGGCCCTTCTCGAGACCCTCTTCGGCCCTTGCCGAGACCCCCTATTAGGCCCTTCTCGAGACCCTCGAGACCCTCGTGGGACGAAAACGTTGGCCAGACGCCTTGGACCACTACTGCTTCATCTGAGGGCCGAAGCACCACCGCGCCGCCCAGCACAGGGCCGGATCCCCAGATCGGTTGGCTGCGCACGCGCTCCTGCTCTTCGGCCCCTGGTGGGTACCTCTGGGGCCGTCTTCGGGCCGTCTTGGGCTCGTTTGGGGCAGCGCTTGGACTATTTGTGGCCTCCCGCTGGGAGCAACGGCCCAGAAAGCCCCTGGTCCGCAGGTAGTGATGACGGGCATCGATGAGCTACATGGCATACCTGAGCCCGCTGGGGCATGGAGAACAAGCCCAGCGCAGGAAGAAGTACGAAGTACACGCGCACATCTTTCCTCCTCTGGCAAAGAGTGGCGGCACCGCCGCGAATGATATTGTACTAGCGAGCGTTCTCATTCGGCGTTTCGACATTGAGCGAAGAGGGGGGAGGGGGGGTGTCTGGCTCGGGACCTCTGCTTGGCGCGACTGCTTGCGACAGTGCGTCCTATGAGGGGAGGCTCCACTTGCTCGAGAGAGGCGCCAAAAACAGCCAAGACATCATACTCCATAGGGGGGGCAGGGAGGGTGCGAGGGCCCGCGCCGATCGGCAAAGCAGTGAATGACAAACGACCACCTAAGAGACAACATATGCCGAGCAAAGTGACCCGATACGCTGCTGGCGGTGCGGGGGACAGCGCAGAGCGAGCCGGCGTGCTGCAGGAGCACCCGGCTTCAGGGACGGCGCGGGCGGGGCCCGAAGGGGAGCGCGAGGGCTGTGTTTGGAGCGTTGTGGGCGTGTCCCGAAAGGACGCGCATACAAAGGCGGAGGGAGCCAGGCGCGGTACAGTCGAAACGCTCACACAAGGAGGCCTTTTTTCTCCCAGAAGTTGAGCTTTGATTCCCCACCAAGACACAAGGAAAATCCAAGAAGTGTACAACAATGAAGGGACACTGAGGCCCTTCCCAACGAAAAGGGTTCCTTCTTCAGCGGCCCGTCTGTAAACGAAGAGGCTAGCAGGTGTGACTGGGCTCCGAGGGGGAGGGTCGGGGGTGTCCAAGAGGGGGGCGTCAAAGAGGGGGAGGCGCAAATCAGGGCCAGCGGCACGTGCGCGGCCCAGGGGGGGGAGGGGGGTCGGGACGGAATGAAATAAGAAGAGGTACCATGAAATCGGGGGAGAGATCATGGCCCAGCCATGAAATCCTCCCCCATAGTCATCACCCCCCTCTTGGCCGTTCCCGACAGGGCCAGCCAGCAGAGACCTGCTGGCATCTGGGCGAAGACCAACACTCACGTTCTTCTTCCGCCAGCCAGGTGACGTCGCCTGAGCGAATGACGCTATGGGGGGCAATGCAGTTCCACCAGATGTTGCTGGTGGTGGGCTGCGCGAGGCGAGAGGGCGCGCATGAAAGGCACCCAACTTGATTCGCGGGCGGGCGCCAACACACATGCAACACACAAACACACACACACACATTCATAGTCTTTCCGCATTTCTGGAACACGTCAATCCCGTCCTGGGGCCGTCTTCGCCCCTTCCAGCGAGAGCAAGCATGGGCGGGCGGTGAACGCGAAGCGCCTCGAACAAAAATGGGCGGGACGCCCGTACCGTGGCGGCTTGGCATGAACTTCCCGGCCGCGGCGGAACGGACTTTGTGTTAGGTCGGGCGTGTCCTCCTACAGGCGAGTTTCGGAAGAGACAAATTCACCATAAGCAACCAAGGCTCAAACTTATTCTAAAAATGACCAAAACATTATCCCCAGACTTCGGGGATGGACAGACCTCCCTTTAGTAAAACGTGGTTGATTGAAAACGACCTCGGGCCCAAACCTGGCTGGCGCAAGCCTGGAAAAGAACGGCCGCGGCGCCCTCTCGAGCACCGAAAAAGGACAAGTCACTGTCGACGTGTCAGGGTATAGGAGGGCTGCCCACCCCCGAAGACTGGTGCCTACTGCTTCTGAACCTCCCCCCTGCAGAGGTTGGCGGCGCGCACAAGGGGGGTGGGGGGAGGGGGGACGGCTTCTTAGAAGCAGACTGCTTCTGAGAAGGCGCCGGCCTCACATCTATAGATGAGGCCCGCGCCTCCTAAGAAGCGGGGGGTGCTTCTGAGAAGCCCCCCCCCCTCCCCCCACCCCCCTCTGCGCGTGGCTGCAGAGGGGCGGGCCCGACTCGACACTCTGTGCCGGTCCGCCCCTCAGGCCCGCCCCTCCGCGGGGCGCCGCGCGGCGGCCGGCGGGCCGGCCGGCCTCCGAGAGGCCCCGTCGGCCGACGACGACGCACCGCCCCGCCCGCCCGGGCGCCCGGCCAGCAGCCCGGCGGGCGCAGAGATACTCCAGATTTCGTAATAAAGGGAGGGGGGTCTCATTTCGGGGGGGGTCTCTTCCAGGCTATCTTGGAGGGCCGGGGGGGGTCTGGGGACGATGTTTTGGAGGGTTCTCCCACGGGGGAGGTCTGAAATGGCTTGTCTTGGAGGGTCCAGACCCCCTCCCTTTTATTACGAAATCTGGAGTACCCGAAGGTCGGGCCTGTCCCCCTAGCCACGGGACGCGACAACGACCACGACCGCTGCTTTTCTTTCGCTGCCGCCGATCCAGCCAGCAGAAATGAAGCTGAGCAGTGGCTGTGGTCATTGTCGTGGAGCCTGGCACCAGGGAAGTGACCACAACCACTGCTTGATTTTCGGCCGGCTGGAAGGCGGCGCAAACGAGAAGCAGTGGCTGTGGTCATTTTCCCGTCCCGCATAGTAGGGGACAGTCCCCCTGCAGGGGGACTGTGGACGAACAAAAGCAAGAGATAGTTCCAGTAACGCTCCAGAAAGATTCAAGAATAGTCAGGGCATCGTCCCTAGACTACTGTTTTACTACATGTTTGAATATTCCCTCCTGTGGAGGGACGGGGCCCGGGTGAAAAGCACCCGACGCTCCCACGTCAGACCTCCGACGCCGTGGCTCTTCCTCCGCGCGTGGCCCCCAGACCGCTCGGCCCCCTCCTGCGAGGCGGCCCCGGGAGGCCGAGGATGGAGGCCTCCCAGATGGGGTCGGAGTAGATTTAGGTCGGGCCTGTCCCCCTACAGGGGGATTTTGGACGAAGAAATGGAAAATATTCAAGACGTGCCCAAAAGATGCCCAAAGATACTCAAAAGATAGTCCCCAGACAATTTTTTGACCATTTTCGAATCATCCCCCTGTAGAGGGACAGGCCCGAGTTAAGAGTAGACGGGGTCGGAGGATCTCGCCGCATCAGCGATACATCGGCGATGCACCAGCGATGCACCGGCGATGCACCATTGACGACTTCGGCGATGCAATGGCGACGTAGACGTGAAGCACATCGGACTCCGCATCGAGACGCATCGTCGATACATCGGCGATGCGGCGCGATCCTCCGACCTCATCTACTCCGACCCCATCTAGGAGGCCTAGAGATGAGGCGGGGAAGGTATGCTCCGCCTGGATCTGTGTCCAAGGCGTCGGAGGTGTGGGCTGCACAGCCCTCGCTTCCCGAATGGCTCCCCATGGGCTCATGCGGTGTCTGCGGCGCCGCCGCTGGCACCTCCACCGGACCGCAGCGCCCTGCCGTGCGCCAGCTGCGCCGAGCGCAGCCAGTCCTTGTACGCCGGCTTGCGCGCCACGCCCCCGACGCCCCGCCCGGCGCGCGACAGCGCCCCGGCGGCCGTGGCCCGCGGAAGCGAGGCCGGCGCCTCTGGATGGCACGCATGAGGGGGGGGGTTGTGGGGGTAGGGGTGACGGGGTTGGCCTCCCTGGGGCAGGGCGGCCTTGCTGACAAGGGCCCAAGGGCCTTCCAGAAGGCTTCTTCGGAGGCGGGGTGGCCTCTAAGAGCGTACGAGCGCCCCTGCCTTCCTGGGAGGCCCCCCCCCCCCTCGCGCCGCGCCCTTCTGCGCGCCGGCCGAGCCTCCGGCACGTCCGCGGGGGACCGCTCCTTGCAGAGCGTGAAGGCGTGCTCCCTGGCCTTCAGGCGGCACTTCCTGCCGGGGCGCTGCCAGCAGTGCCCCGTGGCCCAAGGTGCCCCCCAGGATTTCCAAGGAGGCCCCCTCGTCCTCCAGAGCAGCCCTCGGGAGGCCCAGCTGGCCCCAGGGGCTCCAGAGTGGACGGGACAGCTGGGGGCTCCTTGGGCCAGGGGCACCCGCCGCACCCCCCGATCCTGCTCCTGGAGAAGGTCTGGACGTCGGCCACCGCTGGCGCACACGGCACGGTCCGAGACAGCGCTGGCGATCGCCCGGGCGAGGAGCTGCCCCGCGGCGTCACGATGGGCAGCACGCTGGGGTGCGACGTCGTGGGGAAGAAACCGCTGGTCGACGCGTCCAGGGAGCACGGCTGGCTCTTGTGCGGCCACGAGATGGTGCTGCGGAAGCTGGAGGTGGTGGCCCCCAGCCAGCCGTCGGTGCTGGCCTGAGGCCGCCACGACAATCGGCGGCGAGCCCAAGGGGGGCAGCGAGAGGAGACGGGCCTTTGCAGAAGGCTCGGACGCCTCCCGGCCTCCTGGGAAGCTCCGTGAGCCTCCCCCGAAGACGCAGAACGCTTCTCGGAGGGCGCGAGGGCTTCTGAGAAGCCCCGCAGCCGTCTGAGAAGGCCTTCTTTGAGCAGGGACCAGCCGTCCCTGCATTCCTACAGGCCTACCAAGACATGTTCTTAGAACCCCAAAACGTTCTAATAACAAAAACCATGTTCTTAGAGCATAAGCCAGATGTGTTAAAAACAAGACAGTCCCAGCCAGACATGTTCTAAACACATTTCGTTGAAACCACAAAAAGTTATCATAACATTATTGGGTAGGCCTATAGGCGAGCCAGGGCGATTCGCCACACCTTGACTTCTCCGTCTCACTTCCCCCCCCTCGCTCGCCGCCAAGCCAGGCGCTGCTCCCGAGCGGTTCCTGGGACCCCGCTAGCGCTCCTGCTGTCCCATCCTTCGAGCCCCGCCCGGCCGTGGCCCCCCCAAGGGGAGCACCCCCAGCGGCCCACAGGGGGCCAGGCACGATCAGCAGCCGCGACCCTCGCAGCCGGGACGAGGACCACATCGGGCGAGGATAGACATCCAGAACCTCGGAGCTCCGGCGGCTCTGGAGCATGTCTCGGGCGCCGCGGCGCTCTCGGGGCGTCCCAGAACGCTCCTCCTCCTCCTCCTCCTCCTCCTCCTCCTCCTCCACCTCCTCGTCCTCCTCCTCCTCGTCCTGGCCCCTTCCGGCTTCCCCCCTTCGGGTCCCCGCAGAGGCTCGCCTCCGCCTGCCCAGCGGGCCCCGAGCCGCGGCCGCTCTTCGGCGCAGCCTGGGGCCTGCTCACGAGGCAGGGCGGCCGGGGGCGGTCCGGCCCCAGCATCGCCAGCAAAGGTCGGGGATGGACAGACCTCCCTTTAGTAAAACCCAAACCTGGCGGGCGCAAGCCTGGAAAAGAACAGCCGCGGCGCCCTCTCGAGAACCGAAAACGGAAATTCACTAATCGACGTGTCACTGTTGGGGGTCCTGTCCGCCCCCGAAAAGGGGAGGGAGGAGAGGGGCAGAGGGCAAGGGCGGAGGAGAGCGAGGCGCGGCCTCCTCGGCGGCGCGCAGAGAGGAGCAGATGGGGGAGGGGGGGGGCCTCTTGGAGGGAGGCGGCTTCTCAGAGGGCGCGGGCCTCACATCTACGGACAGGGCCCGCGCCTTCTAAGAAGCAGGGGTGCGTCCAAGAAGCCTTCCCCCTCCCCCTGTACTTGTGGATGCCGTGACAGTGGACACTCTAGCAGTCCCATCATTGAATTAAGGATGTGTTTGAAATGTGAAAAACATGTTTTTAAACGTTTCAAACATCCTTTTACATGTTTAAACATATTTGACACATAGTTTAGACATCTGGGAATTAATTGGCAGCATGCTTCCTCTCCTTTAATCGACTTCCACAGCCCTATACCCCCCTCTGCGCGTGGCTGGCCCCCGGCGACTCGCGAGGGCGTCAAACCCGCGGATCCGCCGCCGCGCGCTCTGGAGCGATAGCGGCTGCGGCTGCGGCTGCGGAGGAGGAGGAGATGGAGGAGGAGGAGGATGAGGAGGCAAACTCTATACACCGACGCTTTTCCCAGCCCCGCATTGACATCCGCACAGGGAAGCGGATCCTGGTGTATACGGGATCCTGGTGTATACATTTTGCTTTGTTTCCCCGGGGAAACGGGGAAACGGGGAAACAAATATACACCACACCACCCCGACGTCGTCCCAGACCCTCAAAAAGTCCTGTGGTTGAAAAACAGCCCGACGCTGGTAATGTATACGCTCCATTTTCCGAGACGAGGGCAGCGGCAGCGGCGTCGTCGCTGCCGTCCTCGATGAGGTCGCTGTGGAGAAGTCCACGCAGGCGTGTCTGGAGGTCCTCGTGGCCACGACTGGACGCGCTCTGGCATCCAGGTCCACAACAAACCCATGTGCCGCAGTCTCAACGGGGTCGCTGCCGGGCCCTGGGGCCGTCAGAAGACTGCCCGAGGTGAAGACAACCAGTCCCAGGGGAGGGGGCCGAGAGCTCACAGGGCGGCGCGCGGATAGCGTGACGACGTCTGCTGTCCGGCGAAGTTCTCGGCGGCCATCGGCGCTTCTGGGCGGCCACCGGCATCGACGGGGCATCGACGGGGACATCATGGCCGATGCGGCCATCATCGGCCGACGTCGGCCGCTGGGAAAGACGGGGAGGCCATCGACGGCCGGATGGCGTTGCAGCGGCCGCGGCGGCGCGGCGCAGCCCGCGCAAAGGGACGGGGGACGGGGGGCCAGTCGGCGGAGAACGGTGCCCCAGTGAGTGTGGGGCTCAGGCGTGGGGTGGAGGGATGCCGTCTACTTCTGCACCGCCCCCGCCCCAAGCTTGTGCCCCGTCCACATCCATCCCGCACCCACCGTCCCTCTCGCTCCGCGCTGACCCTGGCCCTCCCTCGCTCCCCCTCCTCCCTCAACCCCCTTCTCCGCCACTATGTTTGTGTTGTTGGTTTCTTTCTTTCTGTCTCTCTCTCCCTCTCTCTCTCTCTCTCTCTCTCTCTCCCGTCCATCCTCCGCTGCCCCTCCCCTCTCCTCCTCGCCATCGCTCGGACGTCCATTATCCGTGCGTGTTTACGAGGTCGCGCGTTTCGCAAGATGGCCCAATCTGTTCCTCGATGGCCCTCGCTGAGGGAAAAAAGAACACGCGCCCGAGCGATACCCCGACTCCAATTCGAGGGATGGTTGAGCGTTGCTGACCACATATATATTCATATCTATATATATATATATATGTATAGTAGTGTATGTATGGAGTTATTGGGCCTGTGTGGACCAGCGCCCGTCGTGAGCTTATGAATGATGATGCTGGAGATGGTACTGAAGCTGATTATATAGTCTCTCCAGCCCTATCATGACACACCCCTCCGTTCAGAACTACACATCGTGAATTTCTAATCGTGTTCATTTCTAATTGAGTCTTTTGCCAAGCGTATCCATATTAGTGCAACATACAAGGCATTCTCTGTACACCCGCCTCAGGCTCGCCTGGCAACGGGTATGCCGCGCCAGGATCGCCGAAAAACAACTGAATGCGCAATTCCGTTCGGTCTCCTTTCTGGTCTAGGACTGCGTATGCCCACTCTTTCGGGCACCCCTGGTCCAGTCCGTCTCCAGCGTTTCGGCGTGGTGTGGTTATCTTCTTCAGGACCTGCCATAACCAACCACACGGGGCAGGCCGACGCTGTCACGAACGACGCCTCTGTTTCCGACTGTGCGCAAACACCACGCGTACCTCTTGAATGCAAAAATACACTGTGTCTGGTTGTATGTTGGGGCCCTTTCATGCACACCAAAATTGCCAGAAGATGTCAAGCCATGCTCTGAGAATCTGCTGTTTTGGCCTTCGAAAGAAGGGAGGAAACACCTGCCCCTCTTTCGTGACACCGCCGACAACCGCAGCTAAGCCGAGTGATTGCCCCCTTTTCCTTGAGCGGACACCAACCGCGGCCCAGGGGTGTGAGCCACCCGACCCCTGCGTTAGGCGCTCGTGAATAACCAGAGCGCACCTGCGAAACCCCCTTCTTGGGAAAGCAACCAGTGCTACCTCTCTGACTGTTGGGAAAAAGGCCGCACCGCCGAAGACGAGCTCCTGGAGAGACTTTCGGCTGATAACCAGTCTTTTGCCAAGCGTATCCATATTAGTGCAACATACAAGGTATTCTTTGTACACCCGCCTCATGCTCGCCTGGCAACGGCTATGCCGCGCCAGGGTCGCCGAACAACAACTGAATGCGCAATTCCGTTCGGTCTCCTTTCTGGTCTAGGACTGCGTATGCCCACTCTTTCGGGCACCCCTGGTCCAGTCCGTCTCCAGCGTTTCGGCGTGTGGTTGGCTATCCTCTTCAGGACCTGCCACAAACAACTACACGGGGCAGGCCGACGCTGTCACGAACGACACCTCTGTTCCCGACTGTGCGAAAACACCACGCGTACCTCTTGAATGCAAAGATACACTGTGTCTGGTTGTATTCTGGGACTCCTTCGTACACACCAAAGTTGCCAGAAGATGTCAAGTCATGCTCTGAGAACCTGCTGTTTTGGCCTTCGAAGAAGGGAGGGAACAACTATTTGTGCTCGTTTCTCATGGTTCCTGCCCCCCTAGTGGTCAGGAAGAGGCCCAGGAGAGAACAGACATGAGAGGATCTTGCCCCCCCCCAAAAAAAAATCGCAGAGCTCTCGAAGAAGTAGAGATGAACAGCGTGTCTCGTGACACGCTCCTCCCTTCAGAATTACACGCTGTGCAAAGTATCCTCCTAGTGGCCACGAAGAGGCCCAGGATAGAACAGACATGAAAGGATCTTGGCCACCAAGAAAATCGCAGAGCTCTTCAAGAATTAGAGATGAACAGCGTGCCTCATGACACGCTTCGGGGATGGACAGACCTCCCTTTAGTAAAACGTGGTTTAGCGAAAACGACCTGAGGCCCAAACCTGGCGGGCGCAAGCCTGGAAAAGAACGGCCGCGGCGCCCCCTCGAGAGCCGAAAACGGACAATTCACTAATCGACGTGTCACTATTGGGGGTTCTGTCCACCCCCGAACGCCCCTCCCTTCAATCTTACACGCTGTGCAGGCATGAACGGATCGTGGCCCCCCCAAAAAATAGCAGAGCTCTCGAAGAATCAGAGATGAACAGTGTGTCTCGTGACACGCCCCTCCCTTCAGAATTACACGCTGTGCAACGTATACTCCTCCTCCTCTCCCCCGAGGCTGTGCGGAGGTGCAGCGGCCTCTCCCGCTCTGCTCCCCCTCTCGCCACACACACGGTCACACACACACACACACACACACACACATGAAGGGGCCCCAGAACACACAGATAAATACACACACATAACATTGTTCCCCATAGTTTTACATATCTTCTGGGTGTTTGTCTTCCCCCCCACTTCCCACATTTTCGCATGTTTTCCTGGGGATCGACGATAAATGGTGTCTGTGTGTGTGTGTTCTTCCCCTCCTGAGCACACTCGCACACACGACTTCAAGAGGTGATAACCAACATGTCTGGTCGATCGGGACGTCCTCGGTCCTTCCAGACTTGTCATCGCTCGGCCGTCCATTCCGCGTACATGTTTTGGCTGCGCTCGTTTTGCTTCCAACGTTTTGGCATAATGGTCCGAGATGCTAGGTTTAGGTCGGCCATGTCCCCCTACAGGGGGATGTTGGGCGACAGCATTTCTTTAATAATCAAATCAATTCGAACAAATGCCCATAAAAACAGTGAAAAGTCGTCCCCGTACTATTTTCCTTGACTAGTTTTGAATGTTCCCCCTGTAGAGGGACGTGCCCGACTTCATCCTAGGTAGTCCTCGCCGAAGAAAAACCTGCACACCACCTCCTCATCCTCCTCCCTCCTCCTCCTCCCCCCTCTCCTCCTTCTCCTCCTCCTCCGCCTCCTCCTCCTCCTCCTCCTCCCTCGTCTTAACCTGCACACGCCCGAGCGATGCCAACAAGAGCGGTTCCACCGTTACAGCGCTGGCCACATCGCCAGGTCGGCGCACCGCTCCCGTCGTTCAGAATTGAAGAGGCCCTGGGACACACAAATGAATGCACACAAACAAAAGGATTCCCCATAGGTTCCCATATGTTCTGGGCTCTTGTCTTCCCCCCGCTTCCCACATTCCCCCATACCTTCGGGGAAACCGCCGATGAGTTGTGTCTGTGTGTTCCTCCTCCTCCTCCTCCTCCTCCTCCTCCTCCTCCTCCTCCTCCTCCTCCTCCTCCTTTCCCTCCCGAAGAATGGCGCTCCTCCTCCTCCTCCTCCTCCTCCTCCTCCTCCTCCTCCCTTCCCTCCCGAAGAAATGGCGCTCCTCGGCCGAGCG